TATGCTGAGCTCAGTGATAATAATTTATAGAAAGTTCATAAAGCTACTGGAGTTTGTTCCAGGTATTTATGGTTTATGGTTTCTTCGTCCTACCCTCCATTCCAGTTCCAATAGAATGTTTTGGGGGTTCATTAGTAATTGCACCCAGTTTATTAGAGGAAGAGCAGGGAATGAGGCTTTTCAGCCTTTATTTTCTTTTTTCTCCCTTGAATCTGTTAAGTCATTTTTTAAAGATGTTCAGTTTCCCCTAAATGTCAAGGAAACCACCGTCCTGGTATTTAATCTGGTAAGCTTCCTCTACACAGTCTGCAGCCTCTCTAGAGTGAGGGCTGAGGTGTCCAGAGGAGCTGATAGGACCCCTAACCCAAAAGTAGGCCCAGGTGTGGAAAATTCTGAGTGGTGTAAGAAATGGGAAAGAATGGGTAAAACCCTGAAGAAATTTTCTGATCCCCCAGCCTGAGAATTTTCACATGAACAAATTCAGAACCCAGACGAGGTAGGGAAATATCTGGAAAAGAAGTGCCATGATAATTTTAATAAGAAAAAAATCATTGCAATAAGCTAGGCCCTGGCATATGCTTATTGCACAGTGCTAAATACTGTAGGGCAACAGAAAAAGGCAAAAAGGCAGGGAAATAAATCAGCCAATACCCCAGAAATGAGGAATGTGCTCTACTCTGCAGCTGGGAACCATGGTCTGTCCTGGAGCCTTTGGCAAAAGGTGCCTGGAAAAACTCGAGGGCGACCTCTGGGATTCTGGAGCCAAAGTTATGAAGGGGTTACAAAGGGTCTAAGGCCAACTACACTCCAACAGAGAAGGAGATCTTGGCTGCCTATGAAGGAGTTCAAGCTGCCTCAGAGGTGATTGGCACAGAAACACAACTCCTCCTGGCACCCTGACTGCCAGTGCTGGGGTGGATGTTCAAAGCAAAGGTTCCTTCTACCCACCATGCCACTGACGCCACATGAAGCAAATAAATTGCCCTCATCACACAACGCGCCCGTATTGGAAACCCAAATCACCCTGAGATTTTGAAAATAATTACCAACTGGCCGAAAGGTGAAAACTTTGGTCTTACTGACAAAAAGGAACAGGAACAAGTGACCTGGGCTGAAGAAGCCCCACCATATAACCAACTACCAACAAAGGAAACACGCTATGCTCTTTTCACTGATGGTTCCTGCCACATCGTAAAAATAAACTGGAAATGGAAAACAGCCATATAAAGCCCCACACGACAGGTTGCACAAACTACCGAAGAAAAAGGTGAATCGAGTCAATTTGCTGAACTCAAAGCTGTTCAGCTGGACCTGAACATTGCTGAAAAAAAGAAGTGGCCAAAACTCTACCTTTACACTGATTCATAAATAGTAGCCAATGCTCTGTACAGTTGGCTAGAAAGGTAGAAAAAAACTAACTGGCAACATTAAAAAAAAAATCTAAACTGCTGACGAATAGAAAAATGTTGCCATTTGGGTAGAAAGGCTACCTGTGAAAGTCCGTCATGTAAATGCCCATGTCCCCAGAAGTAAAGCTAATAAAAAGCACCAAAAAAAACAAACAGGTAAATCAAGCGGCACAGATAAAGGTGTCAAAAATAGACTTAGACTAGCAGCACAAGGGAGAGTTGTTCCTGGCTTGATGAGCCCATGATGCCTCAGGCCACCAGAGCAAAAATGCTACCTGTAAGTGGGCACAAGACCAAAAAGTGAATCCAACCATGGACAGTATTTCTCAAGTTATCCATGACTGTGAAACATGTGCTGCCATCAAGCAAGCCAAGCGAGTGAAGCCCCTCTGGTATAGGGGGGGATGGTCCAAATATAAGTATAGAAAGACCTGACAGATTGACTATGTAACACTGCCTCAGGCACACCAAAGTAAACGCTATGTACTAACCATGGTGGAAGCCACCATTGGATGGTTGAAGACCTACCCTGTGCCTCATGCCACTACTCGGAACACCATCTTGGGCCTTGAGAAACAAGTTTTGTAAAAGCATAGTACTCCTGAGAGAATTAAGTCAGACAATAAGACTAATTTCAAAAATAACCTTATCAACACCTGAACCAAAGAACATTAAGTATTAAGTAGGTACACCATATCCCCTACCATGCACCAGCTGCAGGGAAGGTAAAAAGGTACAATAGACTGTTAAAAACCACTTTAAAAGCATTGGGTAAGAAATCTTTTAAAAATTGGAAGCAGCATTTAGCGAAGGCCACCTGATTAGTTAATACCCGAGGTTCCACAAATCGAGCAGGCCCTGCCCAGTCTAAGTCCTTGTATACAGGAAATGAAGATAAAGTCCTAGTGGTACACGCCAAAGGTTTGTTAGAAAAAAGAGTTTGAATCAATTCTGCCTCGAATACAAACAAACCCATTCATGGAATTGTTTTTGCTCAAGGACCAGGTTGCACATAGTGGATAATGCAGAAAGATGAAACA